GTTCAGAGGGGTCTCAGGGGGGTCTCAGGGGGTCCCAGGGGTCTCAGGAGGGATCTTAGGAGGGTCTCTGGGGGGAGTCTCAAGGGGGGGGGGTCTCAGAGGGTATCTCAGGGGGGTCTTGGAGTCACAGGTGGTATCTCAGGGGGTCTCAGGGGGGAGTCTCAAGGGGGGGTCACAGTGGGTGGTTCAGAGGGGTCTCAGGGGTATCTCAGGGGGTCTCAGGGAGTCACAGAGGGGTCTCAGAGGGTCCCAGGGGTATCTCAGAGGGTCTCGGGGGGTCTCAAGGAGTCGCAGGGGTATCTCAGGGTGTATCTCAGGGTGTATCTCAGGGGGTCTCAGGGGGTCCCGGGGGTCTCAGGAGGTATCTCAGGGGTATCTCGGGGGTATCTCGGGGGTCCCGGGGGTCTCACCGCGGTTGGCCACCAGCACCTTGCGCAGGGGCCGGTAGCTGACGGGCCGGGCGGGCCCGGGGGGGCCCCGGAGCAGCCGCAGCCCCAGGAGGGCGCGGCCCCCGCGGGGGCGGCACAGCTGGAACATCTGGGGGGGGAAGGAAAAATGGGGGAATCATGGAACCTCCTGAGCTGGCAGGGACCCATTGGGATCATGCAGTCCAAGCCCTGGCCCTGCACACACCCCCAAAATCCCCCCCAAAAATCCCGCAAAAAAATCCAAAAAAATCTCCTAAAAATCCCCCAAAATCCCTCCAAAAATCCCGCAAAAAAATCCAAAAAAATCTCCTAAAAATCCCCCAAAATCCCTTCAAAAATCCCATAAAAAAATCCAAAAAAATCCCTCCAAAATCCCCCAAAATCCCTCCAAAAATCCTCCCTAAAATTCCCCCAAATCCTCCCCAAAATTCTCCCAAAATCCTCCCCGAAATTCCCCCAAATTCCCCAAAAATCCTCCCAAATCCCCCCCCCGCACCTGGATTTTTACACAAGGCCCCCCCTTGCACACTCAGGGTCCTGCCCGGGCCTGTCCCCCTTGCACAACCCCTCTCGGGGCCTATAGGGGGTCCCATAGGGGATCCTATAGGGGATTTTATAGGGGATCCTGTAGAGGGGATCCCACGGGGGGTCCCGGGCCCCACAGGGGGTCGCAGGCCCTATAGGGGATCCCATAGGGGATCTTATAGGAGATTTTATAAGCGATTCTATAGGGTATCCTGTAGGGCATTTTACAGGGGATCCCATAAGGGATTTTATAGGGAATTTTACAGGGGATTCTACAGGGGATCCTATAGCGGATTTTATAGGGGATCCTATATGGGATTTTACACGGGATTCTATAGCAGATCCTATAGGGGAATCCGTAGGAGATTTTAAAGGGGATTTTATAGGGTATTCTATAGGGGATCCCATAGGGGGTCCCATAGGAGATTTTATATGGGATTTTATAGCAGATCCTATAGGGGAATCCGTAGGAGATTTTAAAGGGGATTTTATAGGGTATTCTATAGGGGATCCCATAGGGGGTCCCATAGGAGATTTTATAGGGGATTTTATAGCAGATCCTATAGGGGATCCCACAGGGAATTTAATAAGGAATTTTATAGGGGATTCTATAGGGGATCCTATAGAGGATTTTATAGGGAATCCCACAGGGAATTTTATAGGGGATTTTATAGGGGATCCCATAAGGAATTTTACAGGGGATTTTATAGGGGATCCCAATTCCAAATTTGGGTGTTTGGGGGGGGGTCGCGGGGGTGGCGGCCCCTCCCCTGCCCTCCCCCCGTGTCGCGGCCATGTCGCGACAGAGCCATAGGGGATTTTATAGGGGATTTTACAGGGGATTCTATAGGGGATCCTATAGCGGATCTTATAGGGAATCCCACAGGGATTTTTTATTTTATAGGGGATCCTATAGGGGATCCCACGGGGGGTCCCCAATTCCAAATTTGGGTGTTTGGGGCGGGGGTCGCGGGGGTGGCGGCCCCTCCCCTGCCCTCCCCCCGTGTCGCGGCCATGTCGCGACAGCCGCGCGATACCGGAGGTCACGTGGGGCGCACTCACCGCTCCGCGACCGCCGCTTCCCCCGCGTCCCGGCCGCCCGCTGGCCCCGCCCCCTGTACCCCATTGGCCGCCCGCCAGCGGCCCCGCCCACTGCGCGCGCGGGGCCCCGCCCCCTCGCGCAAACACGGCGCCTCATTGGCCAGGCCGCTTCCGCCCTCCCCTCGCCATTGGCCCAGTCAAATGTCACGCATCGCTCAGGCCACGCCCCCTCCCGCCTCGCATGAGGAGGCGGGGCTCCGTGACGTCACGGCCGAGCCTCCCGCTGCCATTGGCGGATCCGCGGGCGCTGACGGGGCGGGGCGGAGCCGAAGGGGAGGGGCGGGGTCGGGTGATCTCACGTGATTCCCGCAGGCCCCGCCCTTTCCCGGATTGTGCGGTCATCCCGCCCGGCAGGGGGCGCGCTGTGCCCGGCCTGGCGGCGCTCTGGGCGCCCTCAGGGGCTCTCTATGGCCCGCGCCCCCCCAAGGGGGAGCCCCCCAGCCCCTCGGGCCGCAGTGGGGGCTCTGCGGCCGCCTCCCCCCCCTCAGGCAGCGGCTCCGCGCTCCCCCCACGCAGGGAAAGGAGCTGCGGCCTCTCGGGCCTGTTGGGGGGCGCAGGCCGCTCCCGTCCCAGAGCCCCTCACCGCCTTTGGGAGGGCATTCCACGGGGTGAGCCACCCTACGGGAGACCCTGGGACGGGAGTGCGGGGGTGCAGCGCCCCCAGAACGCCCCTCCCTCACAGGAACCCCCCAGAACCCCTTCCCCTTTTGCGGGGCGCTCCTGGGACTACAACTCCCGTCAGGCACCGCGCCACTCCACCCGCGCGCAGGCGCAGCTTCTCCTTCTCCCTCTGCTGCCATAGCAACTGCGGGGGCCCTCTTCGTTATGCGCATGCGCACCAGCGCCGAGCTGCGGCGGGAGGGCGGCGCGCGGCCATTGCGGGCCGGTGATTGGCTCAGGCGCGCCGGCTCCTCCCACCTGCAGCAGGTGCGGGGCGCTGATTGGTGCGCCGGCGCCGGCCACGCCCCTCCCGGCGCCGCCCCCCCCGCAGTCGGGGCGCGGCCGCCGCCCCGCACGGACGGGCTCGCTCCGCGCTCCGCCATGGCCGATTCCGCCGCGCAGTCCTCGCTGGTCTCCAGCTCCTCTTCCACCTCCGTGACCTCGTCCTCGTCCTCCTCCTCCTCCTCCACGCGGGCCCTGGTCGGCGGTTCCATGTCGTGCGCCGGTAAGGGCCGGGCGGGGCCTGTGGGGCCTGAGGGAGGTGAGGCCGCGGCGGGGGCGTGAGGGGAAGGAGCCTTTGGGCGTTGGGTGTGAGGTGAAAACGGGCTGGGAGCGGCAGAAACACGGAGGGAAAGCCCTTAAAGGGGCGGATATTTGGGGCAGGAGGCTCTTGGGGGGCAGATTTTGGGGGGAAGCGGCGTTTGGGGGCTTGGTGTGAGGTGAAAAGTGTTTTAGAGGGGGTTAGAAATGAGCGGGGGGAGAACGTGAGGGGGAAAAGGAGGGAAAAAAACCCTCGGGGGAGCAGATTTTGGGGAGCAGAGACTTGAGGGGGGGATTGGGGGGTGATGGAGACTTTTGGGGGTGAGGTTAAGAGGCTCGGGGGACAAAAACGAGCGGTTAAAGAAGTTTTGGGGTAAAACAGAGGGGAAGAGGCTTTGGGGGGGCACACCTGGGGGAAAGATGCTTTTAGGGGGATTTGAAGGGAGAAAGAAGTTTTTAGGGGGATTTTGGAGGACAAAGAGGCTTCAAAGCAGAGATTTGGTTGGTGGGGAAGATTTTTAGAGGCTGGGTTTGATGGGCAGTGACACCTCCACCCCCACATCTCTCAGGAAAACGGGGAAAAATGCCCAGGAAAGGGAAAGTTGGTGATTTTTGGGGTGGTTGGGGACCAGCTGCTCCGTCCGTCCTTCCCTGGAATTTTGGGGAGGGGGCGTTTCCCCCTCCCCGGGGCCCCCTCCCCTTTCCATCCGTCGCTCCAGAGCATCCTGACTCTGCAATTCCCAGGATTTCACCCCGATTTTCACCCCTGCACGCCACAAAAAACCCCAAAACTCCTCGGTTTCACCCCAAATCTCCCCCTCGGGGGGGTGCAGCGCCGAGAGGGGTGGGTGGGAATTTCGGGGAGACCCCCGGGAACCGTCCCTGCGCCGCCCCCTGCCCCCGGGGCCGGGAAAAATGAGGTGAAACTCCCCAAAATCGGCTCCAGCCTGGAATTTTCCTGGCGTTTATTTATTTAATTTTTTTTGCGTCACCCTAAAACGAAGCTGCGCCGGCCCCGCCTCCTCTGGGGGGGGTTTTGGGGGGGATTTTGGGGGGTGCTGAGCTCTCACCCTCTGTGTTCTCTTGCAGATCCCCCCAATTCTTCCTCTTCTTCCTCCTCCTCTTCCTCCTCCCAGCCCGTTTCTCTCTTTGCGGCTTCACCAGGCAAGTCTCCCCTTCCTTCCCTTCCTTCCCTCTCCTTTTCCTGCACCCCCCCAGGAAGAAAAATGTCTGGGGGGGGGAGCCCCGACCCTAAAAAAGCCCCCTGGATTTGGGGGGGGGTCGCCAGAGCCATTTTGGGGACACCCAGAGCTGTTTTGGGGCTCCCCGGGGTCAATTTGGGGTCTCGATGTCACATCAAAAGGGGGATTGCCCCCCAAAATAACCCCTGGATTTTGGGGGTTTCACCTGTTTTCTGGGGGGGGGGAACGGCTCTGAACCCCCCCCGAAATGGCAACAAAGGGTTAAACTCACCCAAACCAGACGTTTTTCTTCTCCTCTCTTTTCCTGCTCTTTAACTCGGTTTCTTCTCCCTTTTTTCGGGGTGAGCCCCCCCCAGCTTTGCCCCCCGCCCCCTCCTGCCCCCCAAATCTGCTGCT